GTAGACGAGACAAAAACAAGCATATAGAGAAAATCTGCAGAGAAATTCAACTACACGCCGACACAAATAACACCAAAGAACTCTTTGATAAAGTCAGACAACTCACACGTAAATTCAAGCAGAAATCTTGGTCTATCAAAGATGATGAAGGTAATGTACAGACGGATTTGGACAAGGTTATTGATATTTGGAGGGCGTATTGTAAGTCTTTATACGCCAATACGGACCAGATGCCAGCGGTCGCCCCGTTTGTACCTGACTGCCAGACCTCCACTTTCCATTCTCCTTCAACAGAGACACACCACACTAGTTTTGAGTCTGAACCTGACATACTTTTTTCCGAGGTGGAATTCGCTTTAAAAAGACTTAAGTTAAACAAAGCAGCAGGATATGATCTCATTACTGCAGACGTCTTGAAGCATCTTCCGGTATGTGGAGTGAAAATATTACATCGATTGTGCAATGAAATATGGCACACAGGCGTCTGGCCTGAGGATTGGAGAAAGACCATAATCATACCTCTTCATAAGAAAGGTTCAACAAATAATTGTAACAACTACAGGCTATTAGCTCTAATATCACACGCCAGTAAGGTGATCCTCTACATACTGCAACGGCGTCTAGAAAACTTCATAAGTTGGCAAATAGCACCTGAGCAGGCTGGATTTGTAAAGGGCAGAGGTACTAGAGAACAAATCCTTAATGTACGAAACATCATAGAAAAAGCCAGAGAATACCAGATCCCGATATTTATATGTTTCGTCGATTATACAAAGGCCTTTGATAATGTTAGATGGGACAAACTATGGAACATATTGACGACAATGGGTGTACCTAAACACTTGACTCACCTTATTAGCAAACTGTATCAAGATAACCTGGCATATATTCGAATGGACGGATATATGTCTGACAAATGCACTGTAGAGAAGGGAGTACGCCAAGGATGCGTTTTATCTCCCTTATTATTTAACATCTATTCGGAGTTCATAATGCGCAGAGTTTTGGATGGTTGGGAGGGAGGAGTAAACCTAGGTGGTGTTAAGATATCTAACTTACGTTTCGCAGACGACACTACACTTCTAGCCTCTACTCCAGAAGAAATTATTAAATTATTAAAAAAACTCGAGGTAGAAAGTGCTAAATTTGGACTCATGGTTCATCATCATTCAGCCCATACTCGTCCACTGCTGAACATAGGCCTCCCGTAGTTCACCCCACAAATTTCTGTCCTGAGCCGCCTGCATCCAATTTTGATGTGTCCGTTTCAGGTCATCCGTCCATCTTGTTGGTGGTCGTCCTCTATTCCTAAAGGCATCTTGTCTGGGTCTCCACTCAAGAATGCGTTTTGTCCATCTGCCGTCCTTCGTTCTCGCAACGTGCCCTGCCCTGCCTTAAAATGGAACTGGGCAGGGCACGTTGGACTCATGGTTAACTACAACAAAACCAAAATCATGGTTATTGATCGCCAACAACAGTTTCCTGAAACCCAAACTATTGCGGGATGCGAGGTAGTCTCATCTATGATATATCTTGGAGCTCTAGTTAACAACACAGGCAGTTGTGAATCCGAAATTAGAAGACGCATTCAACTAGCAAGAGCAGCAATGAGTGAACTAAACGGGGTCTGGCGTGATCGTCACATTACTATGACAAACAAAAAGAGACTCGTTTCAACTCTGGTCTTTTCCATATTTTACTATGCAAGCAAGACATGGACAGTCATAGAATCAGATCGACAACGTATAGACGCCTTTGAAATGTGGACATGGAGACGCCTGCTTCGAATTCCATGCAAGGCTCGCCGTACAAATATCTCGGTTCTGGATGAAATTAAACCGGATCAGCGTCTCTCCAGTACCGTTTACTCTAGAATGTTAAAGTTCTTTGGCCATATCCATCGAAGTGATCACAAAATGGAGCGGTTGGTGGTCCAAGGAAGGCCTCAGACTCAACGCCAACGCGGAAGATCTCCACAGCGATGGGCGGACATTACTAAAAAGCTTCTCAATAAACAGTATACTGAGGCAATACATATAACTGATGACCGCGACCAGTGGAGAAATATTATCAATCAAACTGTCCGAGCTGCTGAAGCCCAATTATGAACCACAACACATCTACTAAGATGTTAATGACTGTGATGATGATGAAAGCAGAAAATGTACTTTCACATATATATGTACTACCAAACATTGAATATAGTTTCAACGCAAAGTTACGAAGTTTAGGAAAACGATCCTTGGAGACAAACTTCCAAAAGTTACTAATGTCTTCCTTTTTCTTTGCTTGAAAAAACGAATCGGACTGGAGTTCGCACAGCTCTAATTGGTATTCTGCTGATTGGTTCTGGATGTTGACTCCCATTGGATTGTTAAAAAGCTCAAGATCGGGTTTTAGTGCATGAAATTCCGAAAACCTTTCATCGAATTCTCTTCTTATTTCTGTAAGAACTTTTGCAAACCTCGAGAAATCGACCATGGCTTCTTGTTGATTTATTCCGAAACACGCAGGAAAATTTGTGAGGTCGTTTATTTTCATGCACTTCTTGAAAAGATCAAGTTTGTTGCGAAATGTCTCAATTTGACCAACCAACTGTGATACTGTTTTATTTTTCCTCTGGAGTTGTAGGTTTAATGTGTTCAAGTGAGAGGTAATGTCTGTTAGAAATGCTAGTTCATGAAGAAATGTTTTGTTCTTAAGCTTTGTTATAAATACGTCCGTGTTAATAACAGTTTCCGTTTCAAAAAAAAAAAAACAGTCAGATCTCTTTTCTTAAGGAAAAAAAATTGTAAGGCGTTTACCTGCACTCAACCAGCGTATCTCTGAATGTAGGAGGACGTCCTTATATTCAGTATTTAATTCCTCCAAGAAAGATATGAATTTTCGGTGTCGCTGAGCTCTGTTTCCTCCTCTTAAGCTATTTACTATCTGCACTACAGTTTTCATAGTATCGTTGATTTTAATTATCTTTCTGCAGAGAGCCTTTTGATGGATACTGCAATGAAACATAACACAATTAATACCACTTTCCCGCAAAAGTCCAGCCAATCCCGTTATGCATCCCGCCATGACGCTTTTGCTCCGTCGGTGCAAACGCAAGAGCACTTTTGAAAACCGCCTATATTTTTCACAGCGCCAGCGTCACTAACTGCTTCAAATATATTTATACCTTTGGTCCCGTATTCTATGTGGTGCAGTTTTAGAAGTTCCTCAGTTACACAAAAATCTTCACTGATGCATCTAACAAAAATTAGTAGCTGATTTTCGTCAGTAATATCAAAAGATTCGTCCAGGGCTAAGGAGTAGTACAAACAATCACGAACTGTGTCGACCATTTTTTTAAATACATGAGTATTCAGCTCATCAACTCTTCTAGATACAGTTTGATGAGAAACTGAAACACATTCAAAATTTTTGGCCATTTTTTTATCTCCAAAGGATGGCGCCATTTTACCGGCACACCGCTTGATCATTTCTCCATATCTAAATGCTTTTTTACTTTTGACAAGCTCTAAAGAAACTTGATATGATGCTGCTAAGCTTAATGATTGAACAGCTGTCCATTTTGTAAATAGAGATTTTTGTTTATTCAATTTAGCTCTAAGTTCTTTTACAAGAGTATTGCGAGCTTCACCTTGATATTTGTCGTATTTTGTCTTATCCTAGGTTTCATAGTGCCTACTAATATTGCATTGTTTTGATACCGCGAGTACTTGACAACAAATAGTGCACTGAGGTTTGCCTTTTAATTCGATGAAGAAATATTGATTGTCCCATTTTCCTTGGAACCTACGATTCTCTTCGAAAATTTTGCGGTTTTTGGCACTAGTCATTCTGAATTTAACATTCAATTTATTCGCCACTGTTAATTCAACACGACACGTGTAGCTGACTTAAACCAGCTGCCCGCTCATCGGGAGTGGGTGTTCAAGGTTAACTACTTTCTTAAGATTACGGAAAAGACAGGTTTGGAACAGGTAAAAGTTATCAATGGTAATATTTTTGGGCCACAGTTTAACGAGCCTCGGGCCGCATGCGGCCCGCGTGCCTGGGGTTGGACCACACTGCCATACGATATTATTATTATTATTACTTATTAATCCGTCTATATAATATTTATAAATAATATGCCTAACAGAACTGTTATTGTTGTACATACCTCTGTCGGTAGCGGATTCCCTGGGCTCTATACCATATTCGCTTGGTTCATACTCTAATTCTTAGTACGGAAAAGGTTCACTATCTACAGAATAAACATTTTGTTATTATATATTTGCAAAACTATTATAGGTAACTTTAAAAGACAATTACTATTCTTTTTTGACTGCATATTAACCAAATACACAACATTTGTCTGAAAAACAGTTTCTATATTAATTTAATTAGAAAGTATTGTTTCAAAACCTAACCTTAAAATTATTTGAACAACCGTTGGTTCTACATGTCACAATATTACAGAAATGTGTGTAAATACTCACCTGAACTTGTTGTCTAAATATATCACCCTAAAGATAATATTTAACACAACAATTAACACTTTTGCGCTACAAAATTCGGACCGTACCCAATCAGCTTTATGTCAAAACTGCAAATCTGCTAATGCATAAGTGACCGCAGAGGTTTGGGCCGTTTTTGCATTGAAAATGACTTGTAATGTGAAGAGTGCAAAAGTGATTTTTACTACCATCTCTCGACGGGAGCATGATTAGGGTTGGGTCGCATTTGCATCATAAAATTTTTAGTATTACCATTTTTGTATATAACTCAATTTTAAAAATTTTGTGAGTTGGGCCACTTTTGCGCTCAACACCTCAATTTTAATAGTCTAAGGAAGGTTTAATCCAAACCTGCTGTAATTAAAATTTTTTTCGATGACTTTGTTGGTTGTTAGCGTAGATGCTATTGCACAATCCCTTTGCGATATAAACGTTGAAAATATTAAATTCCACGCATATATCATCTTGTCTAGCTGTCGCCTAACATATAGTTTTTTTTAGTAAGAGGAATGAGACCGGGCAAATCGGTCCAGATGACCGAGTCCGAAGTGCGCGGTCTCTGCCTCAAATCCCGTGAGATCTTCCTGCAGCAGCCCATCTTGCTGGAGCTAGAGGCGCCGCTTAAGATATGCGGCGACATCCACGGCCAATACACCGACCTGCTGCGTCTCTTCGAGTATGGGGGCTTCCCGCCGGAAGCCAACTATCTGTTTCTCGGAGACTACGTCGATCGCGGCAAGCAATCCTTGGAGACGATATGTCTACTGTTAGCGTACAAGATTAAGTATCCAGAGAATTTTTTCCTGCTCAGAGGTAACCACGAATGCGCCTCCATCAACAGGATTTATGGCTTCTATGACGAATGTAAGTTTCACTGATTTGTTTATTTTTAATTTTTATTTAACAAGAAGCAATCTTAGCAGGATTGTCTTCGAAATCTCCGATAACTTATTACATGTTTACAGAAGTTAGAAAATTTAGTCTATAACATCATTCTCCTCGCCGAAATTACACATCAATCCATGGAAAAGTCTAGGGACTACACTTTTTTTTTCTTTATAAAGTCTAGTCTAACTACATTAAATTTTAAGTTTATACAGTGCGATAAGTTTTGGATTAGATATTGCAAATACATAAAGCGTCAAAATCGGCAACATTGCCTCGTACGAGGTAATTGTTATTCTCCGATTCCCTCCTCTCCGACACCTAGACTCCTAGACAGAAAACGAGAAAACCATTTAGTAACACATAACAAGGCAAGGGATATGCAACTCCGTCCGTCGATTTTTGCTTACGTACACATGTTTAATTTTTTATACATAAACCCGATAAAAATACACTGACCATTATAAGGCTTGTATTTGTGTATTTGTATCGGTTTCTATTTTTTGTGAGGTAAAACAAAAAATATAATCTTATTGAAAATAAAAAATAATTCCTAATTAAATAAGAAATAATCCTTTATGATCTATAGAAATGATTCAAATATTTGACCTTCTACGGCTGAACAGTATCCCAATCTGTCAAACAAACTTCTGCGGACAGATGTAAGATTTTTTGCTGTAATACTTGCTTTGTAGATACTTCTGTTATGCGAGTTCTTAATTCATTCAAATTTTGGGCTCTACCCACAGGATGATCGTAGATGAAGCTTTTTAAATGTTCCCAAAAAAAGAAGTCTACGGGTGTAAGATCTGGAGATCGCACAGGCCACTTAATATCACCTGCTCCACTGATAACTCGATTCGGGAAAGTATTGTTTAAGTACCGGGAAGAACATGATTCTGTAAAAAATCGAGATATACTCTACTGCTCAAGATGCCCTCAATAAAAAATTGACCTATTATGTGGTCTCCTAAAATTCCAGTACAGACTTTAACTTTTTAAGGACTTTGAGTTCAGTAAACAACACTTCTGTGCTGGTTTTCCCGCGCTCAATACCTTGTAATGGAAGGATTGTGTTTCCCTACTAACGATTCATGAGTAAATAAAATGTTTTTAATAAAATTGGGTTCATCATTAACCTTTGTTATTAGAGTTTCACAAAACTCCATCCTTCGAAAGTAGCCGTTTGGATAAAGCTGCTGCGTTTTCGAATATTTAAAATTCTTGTAACCGTGCTTTTTCCAAAACGTTACAGTAACATTGCCAACATCTAACTCTCTAGCAACGCTTCTAGTTGAACGTGTTGAATCTACCTCGATTGTTGCACAAATTTGTGTATCCTGGTTTTCTATTTCCTCAATTTTTTTCTGCTGACACTTCTCGAGCGTGACAGTTTCTGCAATTTAGAGGCAATAACAACTCTCAAATTTTTTAACAATATTAAGAACTGACTGTACGCAAGGAACTGGTCTACCCTCAAAAAACACAGAAAATAAATCTACACATTGTTGTCCAGAATTATCACCATAAACCCATTTTATTATTTGATCCTTTTTTTGCGGGCGTATAAACAAACATGTTGTTTATACAAATTAATTAAAAATCTACGTTCGTATTAATTTAAACAACTTCTGTATAATGACAAATTATTGGGGACGGTGTAACGGAGGTTCGTGGAAAGTCGACGGCGTGCAAGGTTGCCATTTATAGTGTGTATATTTAATTTAAAACTTAACATTCGGTATAAACAATTAACAACGATTGAAAGGTATGGAAGGAATCAATTATAGTAATTTATACTTCCCAAGAATGATTTTTTATGTAACATTCGTAGGTTCTAGGATTTCTTCAATAGCGCGAAATTTATCTTATCTTAACCAATGTCATTTTTCACGCTTACATTTTACGTTTTTTTTTTACTTTACTGGATACAACCACTATCCTTCATTCCTCCTCAGTCCTAATCCCTTTTGGGATGTGGTGACACCATCAGGCCTTTACAGTTTTTTCACAATTTCCCTCCACCCTTCTCTGTCCTGGGCTAGTTGTTCGGCTTCATGTAACGTTTGGTTAATCAATATTTTTGGTTAATCTACCCAACGCCTAAGAAATCTTCCCCTAGGTCTCTTTTCTACAACTCTACCCTCGACTATCAGTTTTTCCATCGTACTTGTTCTTCTAGCAATGTGTCCGAAATACTGCAAATATCTCTGTTGTATTTGTTTAAGCAATCTATCCTCTACTTAGATGCAATAGATGCAATAGTTGTATGGGGACCTTACTATCAAACATCTATAGACAAACTTCATCGTGTTCAGCATAAATTTGGTCAACACTATCATTATCGTAGTGCTTTTCATGACCTCTCTGTCCCATACAGTTATAGTATGATAGGTGATCACTTGAAAATGGTTTCTATGAATCGGCGAATAGATTATTTTTGCCTAATATTTCTTTACAAAATTGTTAATAATTTGATAAATTGCCCTGAACTTTTAAATCGATTAGGTCTTAACACTCTTCATGGAACTAGGCATACTTCATTATTTCATCTACCATTTCATCAATTTAATTATGAATACTTCAAGCCTCTTACTCATATGGTGAGACTATATAATAGGTACCAAAGTGATCTGGACTGATTTTTCCAGTCCTTAGAACAATTTAAAAATGTGAAAAAGGGACTGCTATTTGTGTGATATTAGTTTGTATTCAAGTTAATTATTAGTTTTTGTTAAACTTACTAATTATTTTCCAATGTTATGCTTACTTTGTAAAATTTTATATATTATGTTTTGTTCCAATGTAAATGGTATATCCGTTAATAAATAAATAAATAAATACTTTAAGTTATTCTAATATCGATACATTAGTGCGATGATCAATCCAGGATATTCTCAACATGTGGCTGTATACCCACATTTCAAAAGCGCTCAGTTTATTTGTATCCGCTTTCTTTAAGGTCCACGTTTCGGATGTATATGTGGCTATGGAAAAGATGAGTGCTCTTACCAGCCTTAAGGACCCCAGGTATATGAAACTATTTACTACTTCAAAGCCCCCAATTTCTTTAATGTGTTGAAGATTATTCTGAGCTCTGCCTACTATCATGATCTTTGTCTTACTCCTATTTAGCTTTAGTCCATATGTTTTGCTTTTTTCCTCCAGACATCTCATTATGTCTTCCATTTCTTCTTGATTTGCCGCGATTATTAAAGTGTCATCAGCATATCTCAAGTTATTGATTTTTTGACTTACTGATATTCCGCCCTTCCATCCGTCTAGTATCTTTCGCATAATGTGTTCGCTGTAGATATTAAACAGAGTTGGCGAGATTATGCATCCTTGCCTGACACCTGCCTCTGTTCTGAAATGATCGGAATGGGTGTTGTTTATTTTTACTGTGCACTTATTATTTTCATATAGACTTCTAATTAGTTGAATTAAGTGGTGGGGTTTTGCCATTTCCGCTAGTATGGACCATAGCTGCTGCCATTTGACTTTATCGAAGGCCTTTGTGTAATTTGAATTCACGAGTTTTTTCAATTAGCTGTCTGACATTAAGTATGTGTTCTCTAGTGCCTTTTCCTGGGACAAATCCCGCTTGCTCTTCTGATATCTGGGGCAATAGAAAAGCTTTCAGTCTTTCATGTATTACATGAAGTAGAACCTTGCTTGCGTGGGAGATAGGGGTTACCGTTCTGTAGTTGCTGCAATCTAGCGCAGTTCCTTTTTTGAATATAGGGATGAAAGTGAATGCTGTCCAGTCGTCGGGCCACTCTCCGGTTTCCCAAATGTATTTGCAGATCACATGCATAACATTTACTCCAACATCTCCAGTCGCTTTTGAAACTTCTACGGTGATCTGGTCTGCGCCAGGAAATTTTCTATTTTTTAACTTTTTGATTGCTTTTTCTACCTCTGACTTTAGAATGTTTGGTTCTCTCTCTGCAGTGAACTCATCGTGAATTGCATTCTGGGGATCATCACTGCATATAGACTTTGACAATAGCTCATGGGATTCATACCGGTTTGCATGTCTCTCTATCTCTTCTTCGCATTCTTCATTTATATATGTATTTTTATCATCCCTACAGGCTCTTTTAATTTCTTTATTTAACCTTGCCAATTCGTTTTTGTTGCTGTCGTTTTGATATATGAAAAATTTGATTCTCCTTCGCTCTTCGAGAAGGTGCAGCTTTCTGTCTGTCATCCAGTGTTTTCTTTTGATGATCTTTTTTTCGGTTCTGGTTCTTTCTACAGAGGTTTCTATGACATTTTTGAAACCTTTCCACATTTCTTCTGGGTTGTCTTGTCTGTTCAACATACTAGTTTCCTTTAATGCATCTCTAAATGTTTTCGGATTTGAAATCTCCAACCTGTTTTGATTTTGGTGCTACATTGTTCTTTTTAGCTTCATCTTGAAGCAAATGCCTTCATCCTGCATTATTACTACAATACTCACAACCTATTACTTTTGTACAACCGCCATCACATACTCCACAACCGTCAGAATCATCTAATATGCAGAATGATCAAGACGAATTGACAACTATATAGTACAAGACAATATGATGGTCCAGACCATAGAATTACAAAACAAGCAGCTTTAAAAGACTACTGGATGAATCAACCAATCACTACCTGTTTCATCAACTAAACCTCCTCGAATATTCATACATAATGTATCATACAATAAACTTATGATCTCCTAAAATAAAACAGCATGCAAAGACTACACTGTAAAAAACTTAAACAACAATCACGTTAAAGCACAGTCGACTACGTCAGACAACTATTCTTCAACCATCAAAGCTCCAAAGATGAAAGAAACTCAATTTCACTCACATATCTAACATTCGGCAAAGAGGTACTAAAAGTGCCTCCCTTTAATTGAAATAGAATTAGCCATAAGTAATAACAAACAAGACAGTTTGGACGTTAGTCCAAACGCAATTCCAATGTTACTCCGAACGTAGTTCCAGTTACTACCGAACGTTGTCCAAAGTTAATTCTAAACGTAGTTCCAAAGTTAATCTTTAATTTAGAATATGAGGTTCCCCTAATTCAGTGGTCATCTCTGCCTGTTGGGACCGAACCCGACGTTGGGCGCCAATTTAGTGTACCGGTGTTCTAAGATTAATTCTTCATAATCTAGATCATTAGGTATTGTAAAAGGTATATAAGCATATGAACTGGGATACATCGAATATCATCAAGTATGAGGGTGATACGGGGAGATTCTCTGATATTTCGTATTTGTTACTGCGAAAATCATTTATAACACACTTACGTCTTACATGTCCAGTAAATAGTTAATATTTTCTACTTTACAGGACCATCCTTTTCGTGGTAGTTCTATATTGTTAGCAACTGATGGCAATACTATATACGTTTCTGAATTTAACTGAATCCATTGATTGGTCAATTTTGCCGGGACTCTTTTCGGTTATCTTACCAGCTTATCTTTCTTTGTGCCGTGTGTCATCTATTTTATTAGACTATTTTCTTAAAATCTGCAATCGACCTTGCATTTAATCAAAACTTTATTTTTTGTATTACCCATCAACCCTTTCAGTTTCATCTTCAGTTTTCCTGTTTTTTCTTTAGGTAAAAGAAGGTACAATATAAAATTATGGAAGACATTCACAGACTGCTTCAACTGCTTACCCATTTCCGCTATTATCGACGAAAAGATTTTCTGCTGTCATGGTGGACTAAGTCCAGATTTACAAGGAATGGAACAAATCAGGAGAATAATGAGACCAACGGATGTACCAGATACTGGTAAGTGCTGTATATTTTATTTTTTCGTTTTTTCTGTTTCGTCGTATATGCTTTTTAACTTGCAATTTTTGATTACAGTTTTGTTTGAGATTTTTAATTTGAATTATTACGAAGAACAAGCAGTTCTTTATGTATATTTATGTACTATACTAAAATCATCCCGTAACTATATCACTTACAGGTGCAATTTTACCCCAGCGAGTACTTTGCACTCTCTGTTCTTTATGGCTTCAAGTATTTACCCATTGTTAAGTTGATTAAAATCTACATAACGTTTTTTCTACACATAATAGCCTAACACACTGTTTTAAAATAAGTCCGCCTTGAAAATAGTGTTTCAAGTTATAAAACACTTTTTTTACGTTTGATAGGTCTTCTGTGTGACCTTCTCTGGTCCGATCCAGACAAAGACGTTCAAGGATGGGGCGAGAACGATCGAGGTGTATCCTTCACCTTTGGAGCCGACGTCGTGAGCAAATTCCTGAACCGACACGATCTCGATCTCATCTGCCGCGCCCACCAAGTAGTCGAAGACGGCTACGAGTTCTTCGCCAAGCGACAGCTCGTCACTTTATTTTCCGCTCCCAACTATTGCGGCGAATTCGACAACGCTGGAGGGATGATGAGCGTGGACGAGACGTTAATGTGCTCGTTTCAGGTAAGCCTTTAACCAGTCATCACCCATATGTAACGCATTCATATTTGCTTTAAAGAAAGAGTTTGCTCCCACCTTTCTGACACTATTCTCCCAGGCCTGGGATGTTAGCCATCTAGACTCCTAATTGCTTTCAACTCAGCTTTTTATTTTGCTTTCAAGCTTTCAACTCAGCTTTTTCCTATAATTCGTGATACTCCACAGAATTCATATAAGCTTACCTTCACCTACCTACCTTCACCAATTATCTTCACCAATTACCTTCACCAATTACCTTCACCAATTACCTTCACCAATTACCTTCACCAATTACCTTCACCAATTACCTTCACCAATTACCTGCACCAATTATGAACACCTTCAATTTCATAAGCACTGCTGTTTATCACAAGTAATACAGATTTTTGATCAATTCTTATACTTACTCGGTACATGTTGCTCTAACTCTAATCTATGATAAATAAAAAACTGCCACAATCCGCCACACTATCGTTATTTTAGTGTGGAGGATTGTGGTTCTTACATTAAAAATGTTTGACCATGGTCAGAAAGCACATAAGAAATATTGCCGTCATATTGGCATATAGAACATTCTCCAAATTTTCCACCACCAATAAAATAAAAAATATGTCAAAAATGAAATTCGTGACTTGTGTCATTTGATCTCAAGTGTGTCCATGACTTATGTGTTATTGCAACTGTAACTCCTGTAATACAAACAGTCAGGATGATAGTTTTTAACTGTATATTGATTTATTTGTTTACCTAGACTAAAAAGTGTAAATTCTGTTTTATTTTGTAAATTTTGCAAATAAATATGTTTATTCATTATTATTTGTAATATATTTATGTTTTTATAATTTACATTCAAGAAATATGAGATAACTCACATTTATCCAAAATACATAAAAAATATGACACGCGCGCTTTGATGTAAAAAATATGAGCGTTGAAAGGTTAAATTCTTGTCTGCAAGTAACGTTTCATTCGCGCCTAGTAACATAAGTCACCGACGGGACGACACGAGACAAGTTCCAACTGGCTCTCTTCACATAAGTTGACTTAAGTGTTTATTCACAAACTCAAGTTGGTATTTTCTCAGTATGGTTATTATCATCGAGCAAAAAGACAAAAGAGGGAATCTAATCGTTATGAAAAGGAGACCAAAAAAGTGGCCTCTGATGGCCACTTTTTTGGTCTCCTTTGGATGACATATCCGGAAATGCAAAGGCGCTAAATTTAAATTTTTCGACACTTATTAACAATAGCTATAAAATATTTTTCAGACGAGAAAGTTTTAATTAAAGATAAATGATAATAGTCTAAAATGTGACACAAATGGTAAAAAACTTCAATATAAATAAAATTTCATGTGACAGTTGGGACAAACAATAACAACCAAACTAAATTTGATTTCTTAAACAAGGAAAGAGACTTTTTTTCCTTGTTTAAAGTGGCCTAACAATATTTTTGTCCCCACTACCTTTACATTGCCTCTTTTATCTTTTTGCTCGATGGTTATTATGCACACTTCGCAATAACAACTATACAAATGTATAGTAGACTAAAGTGCTTAGATCAGATGATAGTATTACAAATCACCTACACATTTTTATAAAAAAAATTCGGAAACTTTGACTTATGTGCTTACTCCCCTCAGTCACAGAAATTATTTTATTTTTTTTATACTGACTACAACAATCCACCTCACTAACGTTACATTAGTATGGCAGATTGTAATAAACCAAATTTATATACAATAATGAGATAAATAGAAGGATAAGATAAGATAAATAAAAGTGCAATATCACATCCCCATCACATGTTTGCTTTGGATTACTAAATCATTGGTCCCATTTGTGTTCGCTTGAAGTGTAATTGACTCGAATCACATGTTTAAATATACATTTTGTTGTAGATTCTTAAACCGTCAGAAAAGAAGGCGAAGTACCAATACCAGGGGATGAATTCCGGCCGCCCATCTACACCGCAACGAAATCCTCCTAACAAAAATAAGAAGTAGAGCACTAACTTATTTTTAGCCCTCTCCTTCCCTTTCTTCTACACCCCCCCGCCCTATCCTTACACTACTTTTTGTATTCATCTTATCTGTCGACGATGCATTTGTAATGAGTAGTTTCTCTAAGCAATGCCCCCTCCCCGGAACAGAATAAAAATGGTTTAAGCATGTCAAGAACTATTATTGTATATTATTTAATGTTTTATTATAATTTATATATTGTATTATGTGACTGATTGTTTATTTTTTTCAGGTTTTTGTTGTTGAGCGCTGACTGAATTGCTTTGTATTATTTTTCTTTTGCGTTATCCCGGCGTAGATTTGTCATTTGAGATTATCATTTCAGCTGGATTATTATTTTCTAAAATTTTCTACAATAATTTGACGACATCTAACATTAGAGATTCTGTTGATACCCTAAACTTTACGACTTAACGGACAAAGTCCGAATATACAGCTTCTATTGACGTCATTCATTGTCAAATGTCACCAATCAATCACTTGTTAATTTTCATTGTCTAAACTTTATTTTACTCTTGTACCACTATTCTTTTACGATTAAGAAGAGTAAAGAAATTTATAGAACCACATATCACTTCAATTTCGGAATATTATTTTGAATTTAATGGTGGAAATATAACAGAAAGTGGAGAATATCACTCTCCGTTGACTCCACTGTTTTTTCAAATGTCACCAATCAGGCAGCTTGTCATTTGTCAATGTCTACACTGTATTTTCGTCTTTTGTATTGTTTTTCTGTAATTAAAAAGAGTAAAGTGACTAATACCTCTCCCATTGGCGTCACTCATTGTCAAATGTCACCAATCAAGCAAACAAATTACGTCTTGTCTCAATTGACCATTTCAAATGACTGATCTACGCCTAAATTTACAATTATTCGTTTTAAGTGTGTACCCACATTGTACATAACCACTTTCTTTTAAAATTCATCGATACGAGGAGTACTGTAAATCTACGTATTAACTACTTAACGACAGTCTCCCGAATTTTCAACCATAATGAAAAATTTTCACTCGTACAATCATCAATAAATTTAAGTTTGAATATTTTTGTTCTTTTTTCTTTACCGCAATCAAAGTGAAATGACAATTACGTGTGTTTTTTACGGTTTGAAATCGTTAAAAGGACAAAGTTGCAATTATTAGTCGTTCGAATACATATTTTCTATTACGAGTACGCTAGAAATTACAATTTTGGAGTGTATACTAGGAAAAATAATGGACTAATAATAAAAATAACATTTCAGTTTATAAACTTGTGTTTTCGAGGGCACTGTTGGTTCCTTTTAAAATAAGATTTGGCTCATAACAATCTCCCACAGTAGTGTGGTAGATTGTGAAACATATATCGACACTTTTTATTGGAACTTTGCTTTTTCTAACGATAAATTCGGAATTGATACTATTTACCCGATTATATAATTACCGTAAGTTAAGAAATGTGATGTCCTCAAAAGATTTTAACTTGGGGTAACTCTCTACCGTTGTTGGTCTAATATTATTTATGCTTTGACTTCACCCCTCTACTTGATGACCATTTTGTGCAATTTTGAACACCAAAATTACTCTTCTTTTCCGTCGTACGTAATATTTAGTGGATTTAAGCTTAAATTAACGTTTAGAGAACTTAAGTTTTGAATAAATGTGCACGGTTTGATGAAGAAATGTTCTGATTTGACAATCAAGGCCAAAAAAGGTAAAAAGCCTTGAAAACAACTCGAAGAGTGTAGAAAAATCCATGCTACACTGTGCAAAAAGACATATATGCAACAGTGCAAGTCTTTTTATAATATTTCTAATACCTGTCAAAAAAGGCGATAAATGATTCCTTATTAATTATAAAGGAAGGCAATTTTTTAACTGAAAGAGAAAGAAACATTTTTTTTAAGATTAGAAAGAAGTTAAAAGAGAAAATCGTCATATAGTTTTAAAAACTGTTACTTTAAGACAATTTTCTATAGAAAATTGAATATTGTCGATCTGTGCACACGAAATTCTTAAATCAACATACTTGAAGAATATATTTCAGCAACAAACAAACGATAATTGGTCTAAATCAATAATATAAGAAACATTTTCATTTTAATAAAGTTTTGACTTTTTCTTTCGAACCTACCCTACCCTAATTCTCAAAGGAATTCGAATTTTTTCATCCACCTTTCAAGCACACACGACATTTTACTTGGATCTGCCCACCCCCACTTCATTTTTCGTTTAAACAGATTTTCTTAATCATTATTATCCGTTTAGTTTGAACATCGCAACAATCCTTTGTTTGTTAGAAATAGATCTTTCTCACAAAACACTTACAAATATCCAGGTTGTTGATACATTGCGTTAAAAACACCCAAGTTATCATCAATTGTGATACCGGAACGAGTGGGATTGTGCTCCCACGAACGTCATTCATTGTTAGATGTCACTTGTCAATCCTTTTGTCATTTTTAAACATTCAAAATTCTATTCTAGTTTTGTATTATTGTTTATAAACTAGGGTGGTGTCTTATTTTGTAGCACCTTATTACTAGTAACACTTGTTAGTGTCCTTTCCTTGATAAAGTAGTTCTTGTTGCTTGTCAGTGAATTATAGGATTTCGTTATTGTTTTTAGACCCGTTGATAGGAGTTATGACTACCATATCTTATCACATCCTTAAAGGGGTTACACACAGACCAGGAAACCAACTTGAATGTGTGTTAAACTTTCATTTTGTGATATTTAACTGAACATATATATTCTTCAAGTATAATATTATTTATAAAGTTAGAATGAATCAAAATATGACATTAGGTGGACTAATCTGTGTTTTATTTTGTTTTGTAAAGATCAGTAGTTTTCGGGTGTATTTAAATTTCTAAAAAATCGGTGTTTTCACTTGTATTGAATAAAAAGCTTGCTCCTGGTGTTTCTAATGTAGGGTGTTGTATAGTTATACGTTTTGTTTGTGATTATTTAACCAAAAGTTCATTTGGTTAGACACCTAGGCTCTGGATCTTCAGTTTAAAGAAGAAAAACTTGTAAAAACGGTTGATTTATTAATTATTATAGTGTCCAATGCTTTACATTGGCTTTCCTCGTGTCATTGTTCAAATTTTGCGAAATAATTCAGGAAGGCACCCGAAAGTTGAGACATTTTACCAAAGATTATTAATGTGCATCATATTTGGAAAGTTACTAGGCGTTTTAAACAATACGTCCTTATTTATTCTAACAATTAATCAGTTTTTACAAGTTTGGAATCTCTATTCACTAAACCATTAACGTACTGCACGGTATTGATAAAAATTCCCTACTGTAAACAAAGAATCAGTGCATAATAAGTATATATGTCACATTATACACCTGTCAGTTGTCCGTGTCCGAAGCATGATACTATGACTTCTAAGATAAAGCCACGTCGCAATCGAATTTTGTACGTCGATGTGCATGACGTCACTTGGTGATAAAAGTTACACTTGTCGGTAAAACATATATGGAAAGAGAGGGTTTTTATTTAAGTATTTAGAATATTTAGGGATGTTAGGTAAAATATCTGCAATTAAAACTTAAAAATGTGTTATATATACTTATATCTCTGTTAGCCTAGCAATGTAAATTAATAGAATTTAAATAGATAATAAAATTATATAAAAAAGTAGGAACTTACATCTTTTTGTTAATGGAAATTTATATACAATGGATTTATTTATTAAAAGAAAAATTTAATACAACTGATAAAATAAAGTACACTGTAACAATTTACAAGTTTATTTTACAATTTTTAATATTTTATTCTTAATTTTGGATTTTTTTAATATATCTATTCAATTTTCTAATTTTAAATTATAACTTACACCTAAAAAAAGGATGTTTGACATCTGAACTTACGTTTACTAACACAGCTAAATCCATTAGCGATTTTAAGGTTAATTTTAATGACCTCTTGCTAAAATTGTTAAAAATATGGTCCAGTTCATTACATTTAATTAGAAAATCTGGACATGGTTTAAGTAAACCTCCTTCGGAAACATGGAACATAGTTTACCCACGAAAATGATATTTCATTGCCGTCTGGAATTAGTAGTTCATCATGGATACGTCCATGTAGTTCATAGTATCATGTGTCTGAAGCCGCTAGTCCTTGTAACTTTAGTATTTTATGAATTTTTTTATGGTTTTTAACGTTGTTAGTATTTGCTAGCCAAAAATATTAATTTATTGTATTTTAATATGATTGTAATAATTCCCACACATTTCTCCACAAAATGCGGTCCTGCTTTAGTTGAATTCCTACGCCTTTGTTTGCTGTAGGGAATTTTTTTTCAAAATGCTTTTTCACTTGATTTGTTTTTCACCTACAATAACCAACTATATGTTTATCTTGCAATAATTTATTTACTATTTTATACTGTCTGTTATTTTGGCATGTTTCTACAGATCTGTATCGATTTCTAGCGCTAGAACGACTAAAATTGTTTAAACAATATATAACTCTTTTAAATGATCTCTTTGAAAAGGCTAATACAAAAAATGAGGCTATTGAGTTATTTACAGAATTTGTTTCATTTAAAAAACAGTTTAGTCGAGATAATTTTAACACAACCTGAATAAAACAATCAAAAAGTTCATAGCGCGGCGTTTGATGATCGAAATAGGTCTTTTCATTACGTGACGAGCGCATGCGCAGCCACCATGTTTTTCGTACGTTTTTGATTTACAATTAAAAGGTTTGCCACCATTATTTGTCAGCAAAGATATTTTTCCCTATTACTTGTTTACTATTCAAATAATATCTATGTTTTTTTATTATAATTAATAATACAAATAAAATATTGTAGGTATAGCACGAGATAATTTTTTAAAGAAATAAAGTCTTTGAACAATTTATTAAATAATTTGTATTGTCTTTAAATGATTTATAGCGTTTATCACTCTTACGTACTCCTTAACAACACCACTTCGTTGTTCCTTTTTGTACAGGTACCATAATAACAATCGATTAAAACAATTGATTTGCTAATGAGGTACTTCTGTAATGAGTATTTGTTATCTTAATTATCTGTTGACAGGTACTTTTTGTTATTTATATTACGAACCTAACCTAATATGCTTATTTACAACAAACAGTACGAAAATAATGGCTGAAAAATGTTGTGATGAAAAGGTCTATCAAAAGCTTGCAATCTAACCTAAAATGCCAATCTTGAATTCGTCACGTTTTCGTACAATTCAAATGACAAGCTTATAGTGTACAGTATTGAAGCTTGAGTGTTGAAGGAAAAAATTCATTACCATCTAGGAAATTCCTAATTTTTCTCTCACGGAACTAGTACTGAGAAATCGATGCAGAATTCTACGGAATCGAATATCTCAGAAGAGCAATTTACTTAACCATATATTTTAGTATAGACACCCATCATAGTTATATATAGGTAGTTTTTCTTGTTCGATGCGTTTTTTGGAACATTTCCCGGCACTGTGTCTATTCACATTCGTCTGTATTATTTTAAATTGAATATTTTATTATAATGATAAAATATTAAGAGTATATTGACATAAATATATCTATATTACTAATTATTGTTTATTTATTTACTCACAATTGAAGAAGAAACGTTGTAAACAAGATAATAAACGCTGAAAATGATAACAAGAGGACAAACAATATCCAACGAAGAAATAATCGAGATTTGTGCATAATGTAGAATAGGTATTCTACAGTTTGCTTTTTCCCGGAGAAGATAAACTAGCATTTTTTCTTTTTTGTATATTGTATACTGTTTTTTCCGCTAATTTTAGTGCATCTGCTACCCTTTAAGACAAATTTAAATTATCAATATTTTTAATTGAAAAACACCAAAAATAAAAAGTTCGTAATTATAAATATTTTGTTATGTAATAAAGGTGTCAAATAAATAATATGAATAATATATATAGTACGTTCACTCTATTTTTTCCCGTGCGTCATAATTCATTTTCAAATTCATTGTCAAAATATTAAATGAAACGTACGTCGATGTGTAGATAATTATCATTGATGCATACTACTGTCAATGTAATAATTACGAAATGGCTATTATCTCGGTGGAGGTATTTTATAAAGTTAAATTTAGTAAATGCATCCAGATATGCTCTCCTTCAAGCCATCCTGCAAGGAAAAATATTTGGAAAGCGAGGTCCAGGAAGAACATATTGGTTAAAGAACCTCAGAATCTGGTTCAATACAACATCTGTGCAGCTTTTCCGCGCTGCTGTAGATAAGATAAAGATTGCCATGATGAGCGCCAACATTCGTAACGGATAGGCACATCAAGAAGAAGAAGAAATTTAGTATTATTTGTTATAATTTTTGTGTATTTAGATTAGTATTCGTCGGGAATAGGATTAATAAAAATATGATGAAAAGAAGATTAAAAAGTAATCTTTTGTACAATCTGCCAAAATAATTAATTCTTTCGTATAAATTTTAATTTGTATCAATTTTATTCTATTGTCACATAGCAGCAGTGTCGAACGCGGTTATGATTTGGATGAATGACCGCTACGAAACCACGTAGCTATGGAACACCTCGTGTTGTTGCCTTACATTTTTTTAATTCTTGGTATTATTTTGAGGACTTTTTTGGAAAATAGTAAGTATTAAAATTAGTTTAATATTTAAAAAATACAAATAAACTGTTTAAAATATATTTATATCGTTGAAATAATATAATAGAAGTATATCTTCTTACGTGCGTACTAAGTACACACTCTTTTTTATTGAAGTGTTTTTTCTTTTCCATTATTGAGATTGATGGACTTAGCGTTAAACAGGTTGAACTATTACTAGTATAACCATAAATGAGGAGCTTGAGTTCAAAAGGGGCTATATCCATTTGGAAAAAATGTCCAGGAAACAAAAAAACTTCTTATCGGTTGGCCTTAGTATTTCTGGATAACAAGATAAGCTTTATTTGTAGTGTTTTAGAAAAGTAGTTTGATGCAATTTGATTTTTTTTTTGAGTTAACGTTTTTTGAAAAAAATTGATTATTAATCTGGATATGGATAGTTTTAAGGATAGTCATGAGGACCTAACAATTAGTGAACAATGGAAAATGTGTAAAAATAATATTAAAGAGGCAGCAAATAATATTCTAGGGCCAGAAAGACCACCACCACGTAATGACTGGTTTGATGCTGAGTGTGAGGACATTACAAGAAGAAAGAACGATGCATATAAACTGATGCAGCAAAGGACAACCCGAGAAAAACAGCAAAAATATAAAGATCTCAGAAAAGAAGAGAAGTGCATTCATAGAAGGAAAAAGTGAACTCACGAAAATAGAATATTGGAAGAACTTGAGGTATTAAAAAAGGAAAACCAAACAAGAAAATTCTACAAAACTCTGAATAACGCAAGAAAGGAATTCAAACCAAGGCTCAGACTATGTAAGGATAAGGAGGGGCATATACTAAATACAAAAGAAGAAGTACTGAAAAGGTGGGTGGAACACTTTAAAGAACTACTTACTATAGAAGTAGAAGATCCAGATCCAAATCAACCACCCGGAGGAGCAAGCAACAATTCACCATTAGAGCCTCCGTCAATTCAAAAAGTACGAGATGCAATAAAACACCTAAAAAACAATAAATCTCCAGGAAGTGATGGTATACCCGCGGAACTTATTAAATGTGGAGGTGCTTCTGTGACTAATCAAATATATAAAATAATACTGAGAGCCTGAAATGAGGAACAAATCCCGGAAGAGTGGTGTATTGGAATCGTTTGCCCGCTACACAAAAAGGGTGACCAATTGGAATGTAGAAACTATAGGGGAATAACCCTCCTTAATACAGCATACAAAATATTTTCGAGGATCATATATGGTCGCCTAAGTACATATTCAGAGGAACTTCTCGGGGAATATCAAAGTGGCTTTAGGCCTGGTCGATCAACAACAGATCAGATCTTTGTGCTAAGGCAAATACTGGAAAAAACCAATTAATTCAATATCGATACATACCATCTTTTTGTAGACTTCAAATCTGCCTATGATAGTGTCCTAAGAAATAAATTGTATGAAGCAATGAATGAATTCCACATCCCCGATAAACTGATAAGATTGGTTAAGGCTACAATGCGTAATGTGGTTTGCAAAGTCGAAATACAGGGCGAACAATCACAGGCGTTTGGAACGCATGTTGGGCTGCGACAGGGAGACGCGCTGGCGTGTCTCCTTTTCAACATAGCACTGGAAAAGGCGATCAGAGATGCCCGAATAGACAACAGAGGAAATATTTTTAATAAATCATCCCAAATTTTGGCATATGCAGATGATGTGGACCTAGTTGCCCGCACAACACGCAAGCTAGAAGAAATGTATACCACCTTCTCAAATGCCTCAAAATCTATGGGCCTGCAAGTAAATGAGGAGAAAACTAAGATGATGGCATCAACACCCAACAATAGAGCCAGGAACATCGGTCCCCAATTCACGGTTGATAACGCTACCTTTGAAGTGGTTGACAAATTCACATACTTAGGCTCCCTGATCACCAAAGAGACCGCCATAACGGAAGAAATCAAGCGAAGGATAGTAATGGTAAACAGATGCTATTTTGGACTGAGTAGACATATGAGAAGTAGAAACTTAAGCCAAAAACAAAAATAACTATATACAAAACCCTTATACAGCCAGTGTTGACATATGTATCGGAGACATGGACCATCTCCAAGGCAGACGAAGACCTTTTGCTTATATTTGAACGAAGGATCCTGAGAGGAATATTTGGTGGCATCTGTGAAAATGGTGTTTGGAGGAGGAGATACAACTACGAGGTATACCACAGATATAAACAAATATTTGGTGGTAAAGACGTAGTATCTCTTATAAGAATAGGAAGATTAAGATGGGCAGGACATCTAGCAAGATCACAGCAGAACACCCTCCTAGAAGAATCCTTATGTCACAACCCGTGGGAAGCAGAAAAAGGGATAGGCCAAAACTCAGATAGAAGGATGGTGTAGATGAGGATGGTAGAAAGATAGGCGCAGCAAACTGGCAACGGTTGGCAATGGATAGGACTGCCTGGCGTAATAGACTTGGGAAGGTCGAGGCTCTTTCATAGGGCTGTAGCACCATTGCTGATGATGATGGATAGTTTTGATTGCAACATTTTAAAAATTGTAACACAAAAGTCACAAGGAACCAAGATAAACAAAAAATATTTATATGTGAAGAGCAGGTTCTTCATCCAAACAGTCACATTCCTCGCTCTCATCTACTTCTTTGTCAGTAGGTGTCTGCATTAGCGGAAACAAGTAAATCCTTATACCATTTTAGATCTGCTCGCAACATCCAATTTTCACCAAACAGCTCTTTCAGAAACTCCGTAAGACTGGGTTTCTTCTTATTTGGTAACGAGTTTCTGGGCTATATAATGTTTAGAACCAGGTTCCCATCGTCTTTTCCTTTTTTTAGCATCATCTGACGCTATTTATTTCTAGATGCAAACCAATAATATAGGTGTGTATTTACTTCAATCTTTTGTTGGTTTTGAATGTCTTTTGTGATAAAAATTCTTTTTGTTTCAGCAATGCCCTTTACCTTATTGTACACTTTATCTAGTTCCTTTATATTAAAAAGTTTCCAGTCGTTTCCCAAGAGTTTTACTTGACCACGTTCTGAATAAAATTTGACGTACTCCTCTTTAGAAATTATATCGGTATTTTGTCTAAGCAACTTCTTCACTCTCCCAAAACAACGATCAGCAGACATAAAACTATGTCCGTGGACTAGAAAAATGATTGAAATTTCGGACACGTCTCTTGGAGACTTATTTTTAAGCCAAAACATAAGTGCATGAACGATGTAGGAATTTTTGTTTTGGCCTGTACACCCATCACAGAATGGCCGAATTTTCTTAATTCCATCTTAGTCAAGAGAATCTAGATGGCAAAGAAGCGCTGAAGCAACTTCTGTTGAGCCACGTCCAGCATAATCTACAGTCCACATATAGAAAGTTGGATTACGCGAAGACAGCGCGACACAACAAAAAGCGTAGAGACTTATCTGATGCGAATCAAAGGCATCGCTAATAGCCGTCCAAGGTAAAGGCTGTACCTGTTGAAGGTCAAAGCAGAACTTAAACTATTTTCTGGAGTTTCTTTGGCTAACTCATAAAAGGCAGCAGCACGTTTTGTATTCACCCGGTATTCCAGTAGCAGCTGATTTCTAATTTCAGCTTTTGGCTCAAATTTGTACTGTTGTTTTAGTCGCGTACATTTACTACACATATCCGAAGCGGGCGATCAAAACCCAATGTTAAAAGCGTGTATAAAAACCTTTCGGAACATAAAATATGACATTCGATTTTGTGGGTATTCCTTATTAAACATTCTCCATAACTTGGCAACTGACAGACTTGCAGATAAGTATATTCTCTTTGACTTTTTCCTATTATAATGACTTTCGCGCCCTTTTAGTCTCTTGAGAAAATGTCGAACGCATTCTTTTTTATCTTCACTTGTATCTTTTTAGATTTATAATCACCGCCCCTATTTTCCTTCGGAATACCACCCGAAAGGAGGACTT